GCCGCACCACCGGGGATTGGGTACTGATTGACAGCAAGGACCGACAACAATTGGTTGGAGGGGAGGGGAGGCCGACGTCGAAACTGAGACCCCGATACGATGGACCCTACGAAGTCGTCGAGGTCCTTAACGGCGGCCGTAACTTTCGGCTGAGGTTAAACGAGGAGGACAAATCCCACGACGTGTTTCACATCTCGAAACTCAAGAAGTACAATTGGAGGGAGGAAGAGCAAGGCTCAGAGGGCCAAAAGTAAGTCCTCCCACTTAGTATGCACCGCCAAGGCAACTATCCCAAAAAAATTTTGTCAAAACAATACCTCGGCCACACATGTGAGCATTATCGTTCGACCCTGGTTTGTTTTGCAGTTGGCGACGACGGTGTCAACGGATCAGCAAGACTTTTTCAGGACATCAAGATTGATAAATTATTATTATGAAAAATTTACGCAAGACCTCAAGACATCAAGTTTTATGAACTCATTTCAACTATCTTTTCAAAGCTTATCATCAAAGTTTCAAATAAAAATTTCTTTTCGTTACTCTATTAAATTCATGAATGGTTATGTGTGTGTTTCTTTTTTTTTCTTTCTCTTTATTTCTTTCAATTTCTAAGCGGGACGAGTCATGTCAATTTGAGGGCGCGTTATGCCATTTTTTTTTCTAGTTCTCTTTTTCTCTTTTTTTTTCAAACAACTTAGGGGCAATCATTGGGATTTTTTTTAGAAGGGGAGGGATGTAAGGGTTACATAGAGACAGATACACATAAGGCATGGCTGTAGACAGGTACACATTATAGTTGTCAATTCGCCCTAGCTCCAGAAGACTTCTTCTTCACCGAATACTCTTCGGACGGAGCTAGGTGAGCATTATCACATTTCACTTGTCTTTTCTCTTGTTGTCTCTTTCTCTAGTCTTGTTAGTTGTGTCTGATTCGTTCCTCTTCACCGAATACTCTTCGGACGGAGCTAGCTTTGTGTCGTAAGGAATTATAGAGCCGGGTTTTAGAATACGTTGTCGAGCTACCAGCTCTTGAGCCACTCTGAGTGAAGACCTCCTTCAGGAGTCTTACAAGCGTATAGGAGTGAAAGCGCTTGAGAACGTCGGAGGTAGCTATATAACCGAGTGCGATGATGCGCTGCGGAACGAGGTTTCTGTCGACGTCGCGGATCATCAGACGCGCACTGCTGCGATGCCATTTCAGATACCCAATGGTCAACGCCACGGCCTGGAAATCAATGTCAATATAAAGCAATGCAAAGGACCGAGGTAGTGAGACTTACATCATCAGTTATAGGTACTGTCGCAGACATCATTGCCGGATAACTCATTGTCGCGGTGGAGTTCGTCGGAAAGATATGTGTCCCGAGTGTTGAAGATGAGCGACGAATTGTGCCTGAGGTGAAATGGCGGCTAAGTAACTGATCGAGACCACGTCACAGCCGTGGTATATATACGCTGTTTGTGGAGGAAGAGGCCGCTGCGTGCTGACGACAGTGTCTAACAGTCCGTGTTGCTGTTGTGGGTGTGTAAGGATCTCGACGTCAGATGAAACGAGATGCAGCCGGAGGAGGGTCCTCAACCCTTTTCGAATGAACCCTTGACTCACGCGACGGTGATGATGATATGCGTCGGACGCCTAAGTAGAATGTTCGACTTCTACTCGGAATGATATTCGTCAAGGTTATTCGAGGCGTGGTCCAACGTTCATCAGCGTAGTAGCGCGCCGAAAGGCACAAGTTGCTGCGTGGAAATATACATAGCAATGGGGGAAGAATCTTTCCTGACCAAGTCCGTGAGTCGACATTTTCAGGGTGAAACACAGTTGCAGAGAGAAACCAACGGATAGATCGCGCGCTAAGGGGTTAACTATGACCACAGGAAGAGTCGTCAGGGTGTGCATTGGTCTGCTGGGATAGGGATATACTAGCCCTATCAGCGGCGGGCGCCGCACTTCATTGGTGTTATGTGTTGAGTGTTTTTTAGATGTGGATGCTGTGACAATCTTACCTTGTGATTTTATTTGCATTCATAGTCTTGAGTCTCTGAAGACACCACACATCCATCAAAGACCTGAAGTGTCCCCATAATCATTTGACACAATGCAACAAATCTCATGACTGATTTTTTGGAACCCTTGAGCACCAATTACCAGTCTTGATGGCAGATATATATTGTACTTTCTAGTGCTTTAACAAAGTTGGCACAAATCCAATTCATCATGTATGATTAAAACCTTCAAGACCCTTGATGCCACATTGAAAAAGCACACAAACTTTGGTCACACCTACAGCTGTCTTCAAGATCCTTGATTTTTTGGGCATCCACCATTTTTGCAAAAGTCCAAATCAGTGCTCAAAACCCTTTTTAGACATGTCAATTCCACACTCTCTTGCATGCATATGGAAAGCAAAAAAGAATAGTTGAAATGTCATAATGTCCCCACCTGAGATGCCAAAGCCTAAAGTTTGCAAATTAATCTTCTCATTTGTCAAATATAAATTGTACCCCAAGCTTCACTGTTACAATTTGAATTTTCACTTTTGATACTGATCCAAGTCAAACCATCACACCACATGATGTAATTGTCAGTTGGTTTGATATTTTCACACTGTCTCACACTTCCTCACTGATTCATTCTGTTGCTTTTGTGATCATTTTCTTCTTTTCTTTTTTGGTCAAAACCAAGTGAATAAAGATAGGAAATGCCAAATGCTTAGGCAAAATCAAAGGAATTTTAGAAGATTAGCAAGGAAGTCTGAGATCACTTTGCTAACCTTAATTTATAAATGTGATAAGCCAAGACATGACAATTTTTTAACCTTGGAAGATTGACTGATCAAAGAAACCCTCTACCTTCTACATTAGTCCTTTGCTTTTCCTTTTTTGGTTTGGGGTCTTTGATTTTCATTGATCAAGCTTTTCATTGTGACTGTGAAACAGATGTTGAGAAATGGCATTATGGTTATTGCTGAGAATCTTAGAAAAAAAGATTTGAAACTATCCCAAACTTTGCAAAGTTGAACATGAAAGTGAAACTCAAAAATTCCTG